CTACTTCTACTTCTACTACTGCTGCTACTGCTGCTACTGCTGCTACTTCTGCTACTTCTGCTGCTGCTACTATTTACTTTTTTTCACAAGGGGCTCGACTGCTACTTACTACCTACCGTTTTTGCCTCTTCTGCAAAGCGAATCTTGGAATCGGTTGCCAACAAAGCAGCAGCTTGAACACTTCTCCAGAATCAGTGCATGCCTCTTGTGTCTTGCCCGGGGCCTATCGCAAGTCACTTGTTGTTGTCGCCATGGCTGGGCATGTTCGTAGCGACATGCAGCATCCAAAGTTTGTGCGGCTTGGGTGCATCGTCCACAGCATAAAGAATACGACGACGGAGCGCGCCTTCGTGCAGAGGCATGTGCCGTGCAGTGTCCACGGCAGTTCGGCTTCATCTTTCTGGGACCCTGACTGCAAATCCGATGCCTTTTATGATGATGACCTGGGGTGGATCTGGGTGATTTCTTTTCGTACAAACTTCGGCCGAAACACGCGGCAAGCGGCCAGCTCTGGCACAGCACGCAACAGTTTGGCCATGCGTGACAGGCGCAGGATGCGCACCTCAGCCGCAAGTTCTTAGCGTGCACGCCCGGGGTAGCACACGAAGGTATCACGGGCTCCGGGCCAGCCGCAGAATTCGCAGCAAGTCAGTGTTGACAGTACCTTCGAGGTCCTCGAGTTGGCGAGGAAAAAGCTTTGCAAGCACTGCTTTGGCCCAGCCGGATTCAGTCGAGGGCAGACCCTCACCCTCATGCTTCAATGGGTGTCACCAGCCACGAGCACGTCTTTCGAACTCGAACTTTTGACAGTGCTTCCGTGATAAGCCACTATGTAGCACGGAGACTGACAGTTCAAATAAAGCCCCATAGGCTTCAAGTCGGAATGAGGACCTTTGTATGGTACGGGACTAGTGCAAGCGGGAATTGATGAATTTCAGTTTACGTAGATTTACAGTGACCCCGGCCTGTCGAATTTTCAAGAATTCCAAGTTTCCAACTCTCGAGCTCAAACATTCAATTGTTCCAGTTTTGGTACATTCAATCTCGCAAACCTGAATAACCTGTTGATGCGGCTCCAACTCTCGAACCTGAAACAAAAAAAGCGTGATGGAACATCCAACTATCTATGCGATGCTGGAATCATCCATCTAGAACCCTACTGCAGCTCAAATTTCGAAATGCGTCCTGCTCCCTCAATCCAAGCGCATTGAACACCAGCGGGACAATCCATGTCTCTGCGACCATGAGGACTACCTGTGGACTGGCCCCAAGTCTGGGAATTTCTACTTCGACTTCTGCATCTGCATCGTTGGATAAGGGCCCAGCAAGGAAAAGGTCGAAAAGAAACCAATAGTCTTGCAGGCAATGCCTTCAGCACTGGCACAGTCTGGCAAAATACACAGCCTTACATTGTCAGAAGATGCTGACACGGCGCACAAGCCGAACGAAAGACAGAAAGCCGACTGAGGCCTTTTGTGTTGGTTCTACCTTCTGTTGGCTTCTCAGCATGTGGCACCCTCCGTGGCCTCTTTTGTTGGAAGGCGCAGAACCGAATGAGCAGCTCACCTCACGTGCTTGCATGCAAGAAGGCATCATCGTCAGAGTTTAGTGCCGGCATCAGGCAGAAAAAGTAGCCGCAGAAGAAGTTCTCCGCGATCTGGTGCAGCACATCAGATGGGGAACAGGGCGCGAGAATGTGGAAGGTTTTGCCCCCACTGCCTGAAATTCAATGGGCGCATTCGTGATGATGGAGAAAGTGTTCAAGTCCGTGTCGATGGCGATCCAGACAGTGTTCAAGCACACCACGACCTTGGATGAAAGCTGCTGTCAGATAAGCTGAAACACAGCGGGGTGAATTGCAGTGGTTTACTGGTCTGAGTTTAGGTAAGCAATCACAGTACATGCAACAAAGCATCCAGAGTTGCGTATTCGAACCTTGGCTAGCACCAAGCTGCACTTCGACCCCATGCAGTTGTCCGAGGAATTCATGCATCCAAGGCGCAGCCAGTGCTTGGCGACGAACTGCGCGCAGCCCTCGGTAAACGCAAATTCTAAGACAGCCCGTATTCGCCAAGATCTGCACATCTGAGCCAGCAAACCGTCTTGTAATAGCGGTCGAAAACATTGTACTGCCTTGAGCCACGCAAGAGAGCCGGGATGCGCTGGCATGTGGATCAACTTACGGAATGCGGAAATAGCAACTGAGGGCGTGTAACCCAGCTGCCTTTCTGTATGCCTTCTGCATGCGAGGTGCGGCTTGACTCTCGCTTGGCGTGCCTTTTGCTTCATCGCCTGCACCACAAAGCCATGCACACTGGTGCAGCTTGGAAGGTCAGCGTGTCGCCGAGCCTCTGCATCCTGAAAGACTCTTTGGGGTTTGGGTTTCGGCTTGGGCTTCGGCGCGGCCAAGGTCTTTTCCCCGTTCGGGTGCGTACTCCTTCCGATGACGCATCGCGGGCACCGAACTGACGGAAACATGCAGAGCTCAGCTCCTTCGGCCGCGCTGGGCCTGGAACTTCACTGGGTCTGTCTGGACGGCTGTCCTGGCTAAAGCTGATGGAACATGTGCGCATGTCCTGAAAGCAGAAGGACAGCATCAGCTGAAAGTCACAACTCAAGAGCAATCCAAGTGTCGTTTCCACAGGATTTGGCTCCGTTTGGCTCCAAAATTCTCGGACGCGCTTGTGCTTCTTGGCCGAGAAAGCCTGGAAACTACGCTAACAACCAGGTACAGGCGAAGGTGCGAAGCAATGTGCACAGGCTCAGGAGGACGCGTTCTCTGAATTCATTCCAGGACCAACACCTAGTAAGGCAACATACACATGTTGTTCTCATCCCTGAGGACGCGAATGCTAGACTCTGGCTCAAGCCAAGCTTCTCCCGCGCTTCGCATGCGCATAGACCAGCTCACTGGTCATCGACATGTTCAACGTCGATTCGTCCTCGAAGCTGTAATATTTCCATAAACCCTACAAGCGAAGCAACGCCCCGACTCCGGCTGCTACATCCTGCGGCCTTGTCCGCAGGTGCGGTGGCGCTATGCTTCAGCGAAGATCTGGGCATTTCCTTTGCACGGTTGCCCTCTCATGACCTCCATCCGTCGCCTCATTGGCACAAGCATCTACGCCGCCTTGTCGGTCACGTGGCCCACTCCCATGCTCTGCGCACCGCTCTGCGCACTGCTGCTGGGCACTGCCCGTGCCTTCGGCTCCTTCCCAGACCGAAGTCGATTCGAAAGCAGATAGGCTCAGACACTGGCACTGACAGATCAGGGTTTGCCGCACACAGTCGCCGAGATACCGTCTGAGGGATTGCATCGATCGGGCAACGGTCAGACGGCGCAAAACACGAACAACAGCTCTTTGGCAGTTTGGCAGCCACTGTACTGCTGCAGCAATAGTTGGACGGGTGAGTTTTTTTGACACTCACACTAACTTCAATCTTGGACCTGCACCACGTGCCATTTCACTTATCTCTGCCCACAAGCAGTATTTTGGAAGCGGCGCACCGCACACAACAAAAACCTGCGCATGGGCCCCTCAACCGAGAGCATTGGCAACGCTGCGCAGCCTACTGGGCAACATACCCTTGAGTAGGCCGACCCGAACTGGAAAGTCTTGGGGACATCTGGTAACTTCGTATACCAACAAGACAGACCAAATTTGTCATCTCTTGGCAGATCCCTTCTCCTAACCTCGGGTCGAGACCCTACTTCGGACGAGCCTCGACCAGCTTCGGCTCCGGTGATGGCGCCTCTACGCACGCAGCTTCCACGGGCGGGAGGCTTGGACGCTTTTGCTCCTGTGACAAGCAAGTATCAAAGAGCACGGTGATCATCTTTCCGATTTCTGCATGCCTTCTCCTCTTTGACGAATTCCGCCATCTGGATCTCGGCGGGCCGGAGCAATGGTTATTGGGGCGCTCGAACATCAACTCACGAGTAGCAGTTGCCGATGCTAGATGGGCGCTGCGCGAAGTCCAGATGCAGCGCTTGCTGGATCTTTCCGATCTCGCTCAGAACCATGCGGAAGTCGCCAGACAATGCCTACATGGCAGGTCAATCGCCCGTAAGGCCGTAGTGACCATGAAACCGAAGCAAATGCCTCTGGAGGACAAATAAAAGCATGGAGAAAGTTGCTGAGACTTTTAGCCAGCGGCAGCTTGGTTTTTCTTGAGTTCACGATGCAGCTCCGCGGTGTCCATGGTGAGAGGCTCCTCCGGACCGTGCACACCGCTCGATGCCCTGCAGGCCCCTAAGAAAGCAGTGAGGGAAGAAATTCGGACCTCGAGCCGCTGCATGAGCTGCCTGTCATGGTCATTGTCACGGCGCAGCTTTCAAAGCGCAGCGCCGCAGTGCACTGCATCGTTTTATTCAAAGCCTCGACGTCTCGGTGTTGAAAGCGACCAGGCTGTCGTAGTCCTGCGCTTGGTTGCTGTGTCTTCTGTCCGCTCTCTTTCGCCGCTGTTATGCTCTTTACGATGCCATCGGGAGCACGTGCTCACGCAAATCTCTGCAGGTCTTTGCAGCTCTTGTCTCACCGGAGCTCAGCCGGTGGTGTCTCAGCTGCTGGGAGCGCGGAAAGCACCCTCCATCGAAACAGGTGGAGTGAACTGAACTTGGCAAATGTGCACACTCAGTGATGAGCTCTACAGGGACCCTTGCTCATCCCCCGCACTTTTACGCTCATCTTCGGGTGATTTCAGTCAACTCCACAAGGAGACAGGGCAAATGCTGACGAACACAAGATGCTCATGTATTATCTCAGTCGTATTGTCTTCACATTCCGCTTAGACTGCGCGTCCGGTAAGAAACCCGCCGGTTTGGTAGCGTGGGGCAATACGGCAATACGCGTACCGCACTCTGGCATTACCAGCGTCCTGGTGCACCTGCACGCCTGACTTTTGAACCTTAGCTCACTGTGTCAGATGCAGTCCGAGCATGTTCGAGCCCTTGCTTCCCGGCCTCGTCTGTCGTCTGCTCGATAGACAGCGCCAGCATGTCCTGGAACTTCTGCACCTCGCGGCACGGAGTCTTGAGAGGCTCTGCACCTCCGCACCTTTCCAAGGCACTAGGCGCGGGACGCCGACGATCAAACTCTCCTTGGGAGGTTCCAACTCGAGCACGCAAGGACGAGCCGGAGCTCGGAGCCGTCACCGATGCGGCCGAAAGTCCGTCTGCTCCTGCTTCTCGAGCAACTTCTGGAGCCGCTCCTACGCAGAGTTTCCGACACTTCCATGTCCGTGTCTTTTGATTCTGCTCTTGGCAGTTGGCTCCTCTTCTAGGTCTGCCCGGACTTGGACCTGAATCAGCCGGTCTCTGCGGGTCTCTCCGGGTGTCTGCAGCTCTGTCAAGAGGGCCGGCCTCTTTCATCTGCTGGCCCAGCTTCTCCATTTGTCCTTCCAGTCTCTTGCGGTCCTGACACTGGACCATGGAGCGGCACCGCTTGGCACTGCTCGTTTCGAGGCTGCGCTCATCCTCTCTCGCCTGCCTCGACATGGATGTCGTTAACTCGCTGCATCTCCTGTCATGTCAAGAGTGTGTCAAAGGAGCGACCAAATCGCACTGGCCGGGGCCTGCAGGACTGGAGAAAGATCGAAGTGAATGTTCATGACCCCTTCTTCGGTGGTCCTACAATTTTCACGGGTCTGCATCCTCTGCGCGAACAGTGCAGAGCTGAGGCCGCAACTTCTGTAGCTTGTCTATGTTGAGAAGCACAGACCTAGTGGCAGACCGACTTCTATGTTCCCCGCTGAATTTCTGCATACGGCTACTGCCTGCGCAATGCGAACGTCAATGAAAATTCATCTGCAGACGGGTCACTCCATTTTGTTGCTGGAAGTCTTTTCTCTGGCCTCTACTCAAAAGCAGCATGTGCCGCTCGCATGAACTGCCTTCCCTTTTCTAGCGCAGTCGTTTAGTTGACCGAGCCCCATGCCTCCAACATGCTAGAGATTTCGTACTTCAGCTGCGCGACCGCACGCTGAACTTCGCTGCGCACCTCGCAGCGGGATGTGTACATCTGAGCCTCCACTGCACATGTTAGCAGTCTCAGCAGCGTGCATCCTGCAATATCTCATTGCCCACACCTGCACGGGTGATAGAATGGATGGTGCACCAGCAACACCCAACAGCTGGCTTCTTCAATCTCTCGTCCGAGGAGCTGTTCATTTTAGTGGTGAAACCTTTCCGGCACATCTCCATAACATCGTGCCACGCCTGCAGAATGGCTGAGACTTCTTGCCCTCAAACTTTCTTTGTAGTGAGCCAAGCCTAACCTGAAACGCCTCTGAAACACCAAGATCAGAAGCTACTTGGGCCCCCTGCATTGCTGGACTGCGCGCGGGGAGGCCGCGTGGATGGCGAGGAGTTTGGGCGCGAGGACCTCCCAACCAGACGATGTCGCCAAAAAAAAAGGCTTCGGTCGGGTCCAAGTCCGAGGCTCTTCAGGTTCGGAGTCAAACTTCACCACGTTTGGGCTCGACCGCACCATTCCCGCCAAGTGCCGCTTGGCCATAGTGGCGACCTCGCGTCTCTGCATCTTCAACTACAGACGGCAGGCATGGATTGGGAACCAAGGGAGATGCGCCACTATGGCCGGACCAGCACGTGGAAGACAGCCACCAGCTTAAGCCACAGTTGGCAGAATTTGCTTGCCGTGCCGCATAGTGTGCCTTTGGTGACGGTAACCGGTAGTGGATTGGAATGGTTTTTGAAGCCCCGTGGTGGTGTTGTACATCCCTTGCGGGTGTTTCTTTCGAGAAGAATGAACCCCAGTCGTCCCTAGATCTCTTGCAAAGAGTTCGTGGGCGCAGGGGTATCAGCAGAATTCGCACTGATTCAGAAAGGAACTCAAGTCATGTCGCTGCGGAAGTGTATTTGAACTATTCTAGGTCAAAGTTCAACCTTGTCCATCCGGTTGGCAAGGACTAGCAAATTGGAAAAATTGAGCACACAGCTAAAGAGAGTCAGGTCAAGCACCAGGCACGTGACCTGGTCAGATTGGCTCGCTAAGCTTGAAGCTGTTTGCCGCTGCTAGTGCAAGATCGAAGCACGAGGTGCGACCTCGATCCTACGTCAATACGTCGTCAGCTCGCCGGTATGAATGTGAGCACTCTTCCGGGCATGGCTGGGTAGCACACAACTACATGGTTGAGTCGTCGAAAAAAAGTGACATGTCTCTGGCATCCCACGCAGGTGAGGGGGCCTCGAATCCAGGCCAGAGCTGCACCGGCTGGTTGGACCTCCTAAAAGTTGGATGTACACTACACCTCAGCGGTCGCTAGTTTGGCTCCGAATGGCCCTCCGAGTTTGTGTTGATCGTTTCCGAGAGGACATCTGTGGCAGACTTTTTGCATGTCTGCTAGCTAAGCGGCTGGCAGGACGATTAAAAGTTGCTTCAGGCCTTCAGAGGAGGCGGATGCATACCAAAACCCACCACTGATATCTGATATTGATCTTGTCCTTCATTGCATATCATCCCACAGCAGTGCCCGTGTCCTCTTCAGCCTTCGAATTAATGCCGGTATTCACATAACACTCTTTTGGTACTGTATCACTACATTTTACGCTCTGGTCACTCACTGTCGCTCTTGGCACTCCAACCACTCGCTTTCGCAACTGGAGCAAGTTCAGTGCGAGTCCAGTGGGCAAGACCCCAGCCGTGTTCGACAGCCTGCCGCCTTCGACAGACTCGAGCAACCTCGAGCAACGCATTCCGCGGGTCTAGACTCATGGACTTGGCTGCCGGCACATCTTGGACTTCTGTGGGTCACGAGAATCACTTTGATCCCGAAAGCGCCGCCCAGCATCATGGGAGATGGATCTGTATCGGGCGCATCGCTCAGAGAGTCTGCCTTTTCTGGAGCTTCTCCAGGCTTTGTCCTTCACGGACTCAAAGAGTTGCGGCATTGCCGGGTAGTCCTGGAAAGCGCCCACCCCTATGAACACTCCGACCAGCAGCGTGGTCACTGCGGGGAGAGTCGTGCTGTCTGGCGACTCGTCTTTGGGACGCCAAGGCCGGAAAACCATGGCCTCGGCCTGGAGAGCGGAAAAGACAACACGAAGAGGGCCGACTAACATCACTGCTGCACTTCATAGATTTTGTTTCAGCCCTTTGGAGCGCAAGCGCCTTGCTGACGGTATCACGGAGCATGCCGCATTTCAGCGAGAAGGCTGCTGCAAGCAAGCCCAGCCACAAGCGCCGGCTGCGTCGAGTCATGACCCAGGCTACTGAAGCACCTGGTTTTGCCAGACTGCGGACGGGCACCGTGACTGCACGACCGTGTAAAATTGTGAGCGGCAAACATTTGCGATGCCAAGGGCAAGCAGAATGTGTGATAACATGGGCTTCCTGCCTCGTCAAAACGCATGCCTTTTCACCCCGTCCGCCCCTTGAGAATGAATCAGCATCTGGTGTGTCCGCTAGCGCCTCCCTTCGCAACACCATCCGGCTCGAAAGGATTTGCCTAGTGGCCTTGCCAAGTTCCTCTCAATTTCATGCGTACCACCGACCGGTGCCTTGCAAAATCCTTTCTGCCATGAGGTACGTAACCTGAAGCTGGGGTCTGGCTTTGCTGTAAGCTGCTCCCAGATGGTGCTAGGCATGGTAAAGTCAGCCTTCATTCCTAGCACCTCACTGTACATCGAACGAAGGGAATCTATGCGAATCACGGCCGATTTCTCGCCCGGGGCCAGGTGAAGCTCTTGCTGACTCTCGACCTCCGACTTCTTAAAGGCTTCCGCCCGTTCCGCTCTCGAGGCACAGCTTGTCTATGGCCACCTTGCCGTGCTCTTTCAGCTGCTGTTGTACGAGCTTGAGGCGCCTCTCCTTTCTGCGGATTTCACTGGCTCGCGTGAACTCCTGCAAAGTTGCCTGATATTGGTAGCGGGGCGACCGGTCGCAGTTTTGTGCCACTTCAGACTCGTGGGCCTGCAGCGCCGGCACGCTCACCGCTCCAAGGAGCAAGCCCAGCGCCAATCCTGCGAGGACCCTCGTGGCAGCATGCGCATCGTGAGCAGGGCTGTGCGCGCTCACAGCCGCTGCTTCACATGCCTTCGTGAGAGGTCTTCGGGAAGGAGAGCTTTGACCCCTCCCAGGCGCGATGAAGCCACGGAAGGGCCTGACAGGAATCAGGAGTGCCAGGAGTGCAGCTGCTACAACAGCCAGGAAGCGTCTCATGGCCACGGCACGAACCCTCAAACACTTCAACTACCAGCTACTGTGCTGACACGCGGGAACTGAGAGCCAAGAACCTGTTGCAAAGGCCCATGCACATGCAGCCTTAACGAAAAGCTGGCTGGAATGGCTGGAAACACTGCTTCTTCCATGCGGTTCCTCTGGCAGAAACAGTGCAGCGCCGCACTGGTGGAACGAGTGGAGCCTGGAAATGTAACTCCTACAGTCCTACAGAAGCCTGCAGCAGAGCTGCTGGCTCTTTGGCCCAGATACTTGGTGACCTGGGATTTGGCACAAAGCAAAGCCTGCACTGCCCACAGGCCCCGTTTTCGAGCCCGCGAAGCAGACGGCTGGTAAGCATACTTTTGAATGGATTCATAGCGGAACACGGGCTGTAGGTTCTGCACTGGAGCAGGGTGGCCCCTCGTCTCCCAACACCTTCACCTCACTTTCATGGAGGTGCTCCCGCTGGCTCAACCTTGCACGGCAGAGAAACCTCCTTCATGCAATGAATGCTCATTCTGCCTGCTGCAGCTCTCTCCCCGACCTGTTTTCGCAGCAGCCCGCAATGAGACACCAGAAGTCTGGGACAACAAAGCAACTTTGCCGGTTGCCAGTTCTGGCAGCCCCGCATTGACTTTGAATGCGGGTGGCCACTGTCTGGAGAGTCTGGAGCAGCATGCTTCGTGGCTCTATGCCGTAATGCAACGCACAAACGATGCTGTTGACTTGGGTCAGGTCAGAACATCTCTTCCGAATCATCATCTGCTTCCTGCACGGGCCTGGGCTAGTCGCGATCTTTGTCAGGTCCCCGCTGCAACTTGAAAGCCTAAAAGCAGGCGTCTGCAATCTTCCGACCCCTTCCTGCAATGTGATCTGCCGGGGCGCGCTGCTGCTGCCTTGAGCTGCGTCATTCTGGCTGCAGTGAGCGACTGCCGAGCAATTGACATCCTTGTGGAGGTCTGCGAGGGTCTTTGCGATCTTGAGGGGCTTGCAGGTCGTGGCGGGCTGCCAGGGCTTGCAGATCCCGTGTCACCTTCCACCTGTCGCGGCAGTTCGCAGCTTTCTGTAGACATGTCCCAGAGAAACACAGTCGCAGGCGATGCCTCTGCTTCCAGAAGTTGTAGCAAAGGCTGTGCAGCCAACAGCGATGCGCCTCGATGGTTGCGGGATCACTAGGTCGTACGCCGTACGAGTTTTGGTCCAGGCACGCCCTTTGGAGAGCTCCTCTTCGACCTGAAAGTCGGGAGCGGGTTCGCGACCAGCTACAGTAGCAGCTTTAGTGCGGCCCAGGTCGCAACCTCAAGAGCAGCCAGAGACTCCAGACGTTCCAGCTCCTCTCTTGGTGGACACTCTGGCGATTGACGTGGAGACTGAGAGGTCGGTGTGTGTTGCTCCTCACGCACGGATGCCTCTTTCGTGTCGAGCTCGGCCTATGGCAAGGTGCAGACCACCCGCCCATTCTGCCGTTGCATGCTGCTGCCTCGCGCTGGGCTTGAGCGCTGGCTTTTGCTTCAAGCTGGATCCGAAGAGCCTCAGCAGGAACGGCAGCTTCCGAAAAAAGCTGAAAAGAGCTCAACAGCTCAACCCAGGCACCTCGAGCTCGGAGCTCTGCTTCGCCACTTGCGTTTTTTCCTGCTGCAAGGCCGCGCGCTCGGCATCCAAAGCAGCCTGCAACAAGACTCGCGACTCGCTGCCCGCTACGGCCCGCTACCCGCCGTGATCCGCCGCGCCTTCGTCTCTTGCATTTCCGCGGTCTCACGCTCGAGGTCAGCTCGGCGCCTGGCTAAGGCGAAACACACCGCATCGGAGAGCGCGGAGGGGCGGGGGCGAAGCGCTGTGCCTGGACTCCTCTTCCTGCGCGTCGCCGTTCGGCCCCTGGGCTCCGCTATGCTCCGCTCTCTTTCGCTCTTCCCGCCTGTGGCAGGCGCCGGGCCGGGCCGGGGCCCGGGCGGAGTTCGGCGGCACGTCGCTCGGCTGGGCCGCCGCGAGCGCCTCGAGCTCCGCCTTCTTCGCGTCGAGCTCGGCCTGGGCCAAGGACTCTCGCGGATCAGAAGCTGTGCTTTGGTGCAGGGACGTCCGAGCTATAGCGCCTGCCTGCAAGGCCAAAAGGCGCTCTTCCAGCGCCCGTCTCTCCAAATCTCTTTCGGCCAGGTCCTTGACCCGCTGTGCCTGACACTCTCATCTAGAATCTAGGCATACCAATTTTATCTCCTCGCTTTTCTCTGAGCCCCTTCGGGAGCTTGGCCTTGTGCTGCAGGCTGTTGGACTTCTCAAGGGCCGTGCAAATGCCCTGGGCACGAGCACGACGAGCTAAGACTCAGACGCCGGGAAATCCGAGGTGCACACAAGCTCCTTCTTCACTCGCTCGCTCTCGTCCTTCAGGGCTTGCTGGAGGTGGACCTGGCTCTCGCACTTTCTCCGGCCGAGCATAGCAACCACAGGCAGTACTCCCGGCTGCACCTTTTGAAGACTCAGAGATACCACCCTTGGTCGAGAGAGCGTGTAGCATATCAGAAACAGTTTACATGAGTAGCTCACCGCATGACGGGCTCTCTCCTCTCTCTTGCTTGTGCATGCTTTTGGCATGCATGTGCTTGATATCCCACCACAAGCTATGCTCTTTGCCGAGCGTCTGCTGTTGGAAGTTTGCCACTTGTTTCCTGACGGGTACGCGCATTGCATACTCTTGAAATGCTGCCGCTCAGTGAACTGTATCGTGTTGCTCCTCCAATTCTTAACACGGCAGCCGACGCGTCACAACTCGTCTCCGCAACTTCGGACTGCCGAATGCTGGCAGGATGCCAAGCTTCGGCCATCGGCGGTGCCAGTTTCACTCGGAGTGGCCGCTGCTTTAATGCTGCTCGGAAGTCTTCAGCAGACATCTGGCCCCTTATCTGACACTTGGTGGGAGACAAGCCAAGCTGGCCGAACTGAGTCTGCAGTCTACAGAGTCTACAGTGAGAAGCGCTGAAATGGTCAAGTGGTAAGGACGAGGTGCGCTTCCTGGCCGTTCAACTCAAGAAGCTCGCTTCCCACCAGGATGCCAGCATCAGCAGCCCAGGAGTCCTGACCAGGTCGCTGCATCCCGTTGCTCTGCACAGGGCTGTACCGTGCCTTCTTCACGTTCTTGATGACTAACGGGGCATACTTCCTGCACATGCACGGGGTCCATCGCTCTCCAGGACAATGCCCAACCGGCGGGTTTTCAGGCGTTTCGTGCATGTGCCCGTGTGCTGTCTGCCGTGCCCTGGCACCGCTCCCACAAAGCGCGCAACCATCCACCCCAGTCCACCCCAGTGCCAGTGGGGCTGGTTGGCCGCAGAACTGCACAGAAGTTACTTTACCGGTGCCCTTGCATGCAGTCCCTCTCTTTTTGCTTCTTCCGCACCGGACTTCCGGACTGCGCGCAAAGGAAGCCGCGCGCTCGTTAGCGCTGCTGCACCCCTGAACCACCGCCTTCAAGGCCTGTCGAACGGCTCCCGCACTTTACTGATTCCCCCCCCGGCACTCTGGGAAACACTGCTGGTCACCGTCACAGGATACCATGCATCCTCTCCCTCTCTGATCCGTGATATCTCCATCTCCCCCCTAATCACCCATAAGACAGGGTGCGTTGGCGGCAAATCGACGAAGCCGAAGCCCAGGCTGTCCACGGATTCTTCCACCTTGATAGCAGATGAGGCAGATTCCCGTCTGCGTGAAGACATCAGCTGAAGACATCCGCAAGAAGCTGAAAGCCGAGGGACGACCAGCTCTTTCTCATCGCAATCGCGCACCGAAGACTTGCCGGGCGGCATGACCCAGGATATCACAAGGCACCATGTCAGAAGGCTCTGAGGCAACCGACTTCACAACCCCCTACCGCCGGGTCGGCGGGATGGCACTGGCGACACTGCTGCATTCGCACACGCAACATGTCCGGCTGTGGGGTTATGAAAGGGTAGTGAGCTTCGTCATGCTCTGCTGGGCTCCTTCCGGTTTCTGAGAAGATTGCAAGCTTGCCGAAGAGCCCAAACAGAGCAACGTGTCTATCATAGTGTATTCATGGGGTCGTGGGGAACGACACGTTCTCAAGCAAACCCCTGCCCAGCCCTGGCCGCCTCATGTCGCCCAGCAAGGTCGAGGACAAGAAATTCACGATGTTGTCGCTGCTTCGCAGCTCAGCATGAGCTTTCGTTATGTGTGCTGACTGCGCAAAGCGGTGCCAGCGAAGGAAGCATAGCGACACCATGTTGGCAGTGTCCTCAACAATGGCGTATGAGGCAGATCGGGCAGCGCTGTGCCAAGCCACTCTCCTGCACCTCGAAGGCCGCAACGACAGCATCCCAATCCTGGTGTCGAGACTGAAGATCTGTGCACAGCATCAGTGGCCTGGGACCACGGAATCACGCCCAGATCACAAGTCCCCGACCCGTCGTGCCAGCTTGCGATGCGGACCTTGCACCGCACGGCCGCACTGTCTGAGCACGATGTAGCAGGAAAAAGGAGAATGCAAGAGATGCTCCTTCATTCGAGCTTGTTCCTTTCCCGGTAGCCCTTTGCCATTGCCTTTTCTGCGGTCCGAGCCACCATGATGAAGTTTAGGTGGAGCCTGGCCACGGATCAGCCGACCCAGCAGCTGTGCTCGCCGAACCTCCTCCTGGCAGCTTGCTCGTCCAGTCCTTGCCTCGTGTCAGCTACAGACCCCGCCTTGACAGGGGCTGCAGCTCTTGGGGTTGTCCTCACCGCCGCAGGATGAAATCTCTGAACATGCTAGAATGAGAAACATGGCATGCCTCCTGCTGCCGGATAAATGAATAAAAGTTTCGAACGAAACAGATTCCCGCAAGGGCAGCAGCCATAAACAACGCAGAGAACAGTCGCAGTGGCTCTCTTGCCATTTTTTGGAAATTACACAGTCCCACCGACAAGTGACAGCAGTGAATGCTTTAAACTTCTGACGGACTCGGCAACTGGCGACTGCTCCGATTGAAGTCAAGAGTCGGTGGCGGACAGCACAGGAAAGCCAGCACAGCGGTCCTCAGCTTCCATGCCGTCCAAGATGCAACAGGGACCATGACTAGATCAGCTGGAGGGCACACAAATCACCAGCAGCACAGTGAGAATTGCCGCCACCCAGACCGGCAGCAGGTCTGGCAGGAAGAAGCCTTGCACCTCCGAACTAGGAGCCGCAAGTTTCAAGCCTGGCCACAGGCAGCTGACGCCTGGTTGAAAGCAGCCAGGATGTAAATGAGCTTTCCCAAAACCGAGTGGTAAGTCCCGACATCTTGCCGTTCGTCTCCTCAGCATGAATCGACGGCGTGGTGTCTGCCTCGTTTCAGCTTCTTCCTTGCTGTGTCCCTCATGTCCCTCGGACCTTCCTTCCACTCTTCACCCGTGCCGGCAGTCCTCTTTGAAGAGCGACCAGCTTGGCGGCACCAGAGCAGCTGCATGCAAAAAGCAGCATGAGGACTGCGTAGCCTACGAAGACCTTACGTCGGCGGCAGTGGCAGACAAAATCTGAATACAGATACTCGGTTGCTTGCTTACTACAGACATAACACACGTACAGGCACAGGGCAACTGGACGCAACTGATGCTTCTGGACGACATGATACTGCGGCCTCGGCACATGAAATCTGCTGCTCCATGTTGGCGACAGTCGTGGCTCTGTAGCACAGAGCCTCTTCCAGTACATGGACCTCAGTGCCCGCCCGCCCTGGAAGCCCGGGCTGTGCTCCTCCATATTTTGACAATGCTGCTGGGATGGAGTTGAGTCGAGGCACAAGCACCCCAAAATGGCACAAAGCAGCACCAGCACGCCTTAGTTTACGCTTGAAATCGCTTCAAGACCGTAAAATCCTAAATATGAAGGGATCCCCGCTAGTCTGTCTGCAGGCAATGAACCCAAGGATGCATGCGCAGCATGCCGAAGAAGAGGCTCCATGACAAGGCCACCGGTCCGATCTCTGGTGTAGCTCAGGAGGCCTGCGCATCCGCGCTCGAGAGAGAAGTTGCGAAAAGCCGGAGGTCGCAACGGACGCCTGCCGTAGTCAGCGGAAGGAAAGCCAAAGACATCAGAACAGCATGGCCCAGGACGAGAACCGGTTGACCTCAGCAATGACCGATGAATGCACCGTAGAATTGTGGAAGCAGCGTGATATCGGGCATCGTCCAGCGTCGTCCTCAAAGACCCTGGATACAGGTTGGACACTGATCAAGGCAGCGTTCAGCAGCAGCACGATCACCGCGCCGAAGCTGATCAGAAGCTTTGGCGCGCCAGACCAGCCCTGCAGTGCGACAGAATGCGACAGACATACACGTGATGTGGATGATTCCATGTGGGCCTACATGCTTGATGCTGCCGGCTGCTTGGTCATCCATGTGTCATTGCACTTTAAGGTGGCTCCGAGGAACTTTTCCAGGTCGCGCTTTGGCCTCCAATCGTGCAGCACCTGTGTACAGGCAACGGCAAACGGCGCTTGCTCCCTGCTTGGCAAGGAGGCGTACCTCCAACATGCATTTGGGGTTGCACCTTTGAGGAAAGGCTCTGACAGGTTGGCAGTCGAAGCATCTTGCGAAGTTCTTCTCTGCCGTGCCGGAGCCTGGCCTGCCGAAAGGAGACAACAAGGTGTTGCCAGGCGCATTCTATGTTTGGCGTGACACATACAAGACAGTACTGCAATCATATAGACGATCTCGAGGCATGCATGTACGACAAGGTTCTGTGCCTGTGACTGAAATGACTCGAGTCCGACTCTGCAAGCCTGCAGCATCCAGAAGGAACGGAAACTGGACGTGGAAGTACTGCAGCTTGCGCTCTAGCGCGGCCTTGGTCAAGTACCAACATCTGGTGGAACTTGCCCAGAAACAAACACAGCCTGCATGAGCTCTACAAGCCAGCTTGGCGCAGCTTGGCGGCAGGAAGCCTTAAAGGATCTTCACCAAAAGCCGGGCCAATGAGCTGGCAGTACCAGCCTGTCAAAAAAAAGCCAGTGGAGAGAGAAAAGGGGAGACAGCGAGTGCAAAATTCCACTATACAATCCAGACAGCGAGAGCAATCTAACACGAGATCAATCCCTTTCCACAATCACACAATCACGAACACTTCTTTATGCAACCAGGCAGTCCGTCCAGTCGGTCTTGAGCCAATGCCATTC